AGTAGGTGAGAGCGGAGAGGAAAAGCGCGGTGTGGGAGGGGAGGGGGTCGTGGTGGGCGGGGGGTGGGGAGAGGGGGGGGGGGGGGGGGGGGGGGGGGGGGGGGGGGGGGGGGGTTAATTTACTACTCAATATACTTCAACACTCCTTTTAACCTTGACACGATCACATTAGGCTAGAGAAGGCTTAATTACTAGAAGAACAAACAAAAAAGAAGTTAGTTTGAACTATCTACCAAATATTTCCATGAGTAGTCAAACACAAAAATACAAGGTTCTTAGAAGATTTTTTTGGTCTGTAGAAATTTGCTGAGCTTATTCAAATTTAGTCAATAAACCATGGTGTTGCGGACAAAATATCCGAAAACTTCTATTATTGCTCAGCAGCAGTCAGAAATAGTCGAAACTCTTAGAGTATTTTGCTTCTTGCATCAAGTTTTATTGATTAAATTTGAATAATTTTTTTTATCAAAATGATCAGCTCAACAAACTCTACAAAGTTCTACAGACGAAAAATCTTCTGAGAATCTTACGTTTTTACGTTTGGATTACTCATGGAAGTATCCATCGAAAATACGATACGCAAACATTTTGTTCTTGATAATCAGATATTCAAAAAGTGTTCACGATCACTTCAGAATAATCTACTCTCATAAATAATAGTTGAACATAACCGGTAAATATTATCAGCATAGTCTACAAGTGGTGACAAAAGTATATTCAAGAGATGAGTAGTTTCATGTGATATATTGTCTAATGATAACAGCATGATGAAATAGACTTAGGTTCGCGGTAATATCAAGATAATCATGATAGAATTAATTAATTTAACTGAATAGATAGTTAAAGTATGAAATAGATTCATTTTATTTAAACAAACCAATGACATTGACTTTATCCATTTGAGATTAAAACGAAAGAAAAATTATAGAAAAAATTTCATTACAATAAATGTCAAATACACAAACAAATATTGTGAAAAAAGAAGAATTTAAAAAAAAAAAGAGATTATAGCAATTCAGCAATGTCTGATTGATTGATGGCATAGTAAAACGAAATAAAAATCAATTTTTTTTTCTTCATATAAATATACAAATAAAAAAAACAAATAAGTTTTTTTTTTTTTCTTTTTCTTCTCATCCTGATGTTCCGGTAAGATTTGGTTTTATTTGTTCTTCAACAACATTTCTTAATGTTTCTACTGATTTATAATCCATAGTCAAATCTTTCGATAATGCTGGTATAAATCCAACATTTTTTAAACATGGAATTATAATTAAACATAAAAGTGTACTTAAAATAGTTAAAGATGTAAAAATCCAAAATAATAATCTATCCATAATAAGTGCCATTAATTTCCATTCATTAATTATTTCATTTTTTTCTTCTTCATGTTTTTGTTTATTAATTAAATGTTTTAAATGTTTTTCAAGTAAAGACATATTAGAATTAAAACATTCATATTGTGTATGATTAATAAGATTTCTTGGTGATGATGACAATGGATGAGATTGTTGAGGAATAAGAACTATTTGAGGAACACGTGAACGAGAACGATGATGATGTTGATTAGGAGAACGTTTATTAAATGATGGTACTGAACGAATATCACCATTACATAATGATGGATTCGATAAAAATTCTTTCATTATTTCTTTATCATCATCATCATCATCATCATTATCATTATCATTATCATTACATTGAGGTTCTTCTCGATAAGAATTGTCTGAAAAGAAGTTTATAATAAATATGAATTATTTATTTATTTATTTTTATGAAAATAATTGCTTATGAAAGTGTCTTCGAATAGAAAGAACATTATGATTTGCATTCGCATGTCTAATTTGTCTCTCTCGTGAAGCCTTAAGACTAGACTGAATATAATTAAAGTTGAAAATTTCCTGTAGTACTCAGAAATAAGTAACAATAGGTTTTATTGCAATTATACTATTTTAAATAAGACAGGTAAACTATTTATATTTGTTTCTTTTTTATTAGTATTAATTAAGGATGCACCTGCAAATGAAAAAATAAAAAGATGTAAGATAAAGTAAATTCAAAAGTAATAATATAAGTGAAAGAAATCTTATCAAGATTTATCCAAACTAGTGGATTTATCTATTCATAGTATATAATACATTTGTAATGTAGTAAAAAAAGATTCATAGTTCTGAAGAATAAGTTCTCATTCTCAGCTGGTTCACTATTTTCAGTGTTGTGCTACCACTTTCATCCTCAATTAGGTACCCGTTCTCAGCATCAATGCTTCGATTGAATAATAAAAGATATAACTGGATTTATGGAAAAATCTCCAACTGATTAATTCTAGACAATGTGAAAATGGAAACATCCAAGAAATAAAAGACATAAAAATATAAGAAACGGATAGATATATATTAAATTGTGTCTTATTCTATATCATTTCATGTGTGTTTTTAAAAATAGATAGTAGATATTGTCATCTAACGACAGACCTACTATATTATTATTAGAATTGTCTGTCGCAATTTGTTGTAGCTTTATAAAAAGAAAAAATATTCATGTTAATCTGCTATTTGCTTAGGGCATATCAAAGTAGTCGCAGTAGAACTATGATATCTAATAGAAGGCTCGAGGAAAACTCTGCATATACGTATATACTGATAGTTCTAACAGTATTCTATAATTCAATAACATTTCACCATTCTTCAGCTGCTATAATAATATTGAAATTTCGATGAATACAGAAACCTTTCACTTCTATATTTAAGTCTGTACAGCACTATATACATTCAAGTGAGATTTAGTCATAATAAACTTTATTTTGCTTTTCTCAGTCAGGCACTATCTTTCAGAATAGCAAAAATTTTCAATACGTGCCTTCGTGAAGAGATTGAAGATGAAACACGATCCAGCGTAATAATAGCCAAACAACATCCAAAAAGATCGAACAGATCCATTGTCTTATTAATGATGATCCTTAATATTAGACATGACGAATTACAATCGCAAACTTGAAAAGATTACCACTATTTATACATCGAAATAGTTGACCCTGATTATGATTATGAAAGAACTTATCTCAGTTACAGGTTCAGAAAGTTATCCTTCACGAAACTGTGTACATCATATTTCAACTTTTTTTGATAGATAGAATGTGCCAATCGAAAACAAAACATAGTTCATTATGAATAACGCTCATTTTTATATACAGTGAAGTACGAACTTTAATGTAGGAGTGAAAGTTTTCTTTATCTATCAAAAATTAGAAGTGAACTGTCTTAATCATAATTCTAATATATTCATACGAACTGAAGAATGATAATATATTATAGTATTCCTGCCACTAGTTTTAGTATGTCTTAACTATTTTCAATTCCATGAAAATAATCATACGTACTTTGTCGATATTTGATATTCTTTTTTTTTTCAAAAATAAAATTCTTTTTATTATTAATTAATGGACTATCGATTGGTTTTGTTTTTGGTTTAGCAAAACATTGATAAACTTCATCTGTTTCAATTAAATTATGTTCTTGTGCATAAGTTTCAACAACTTTTTTCATTCGAATCACAGGTACTACATATCGAACTAATGAATATTTAAATGAATGTGGAATAGGAATAACAACAGGACCCGAATGATGTAATTGAAGTACATAAACAGTAAGTACAATTGATAATGATGTCAATGCCATAACAATAGTTAAATAGATTTCTATAAGCGGAACCATTTCACTTGTTGCTGGCATTGATTCAGCAATTAATAACATAAAAACAGAAAAAGCAAGAAGTACAGTTATACCAAGTGTTATCTTTTCTCCCGAATCTGGTGGAAGCCAAAATCCGAGCAATGAAAGAATTGAAAGCCATATACAAGGAAATATTATATTAAACAGATAATATAATACACGACGACGGATATGAACTAAAGTATTATTATTATTTCTTTTAGAGTAAAAAAAAAAAAGAAAAATTTTTATCAGAAATTTCAATTTACCATAAATTGTTACATCGGGATAATAAATTTCAGGACAACATGGATAAGTAACATCATTACGTTTTATTTCAATATGAACAATATGCCATTCACCCGAACGTATATAATTTGTCATATCAACATGATCACGTCGTTTTGTTAAATTAACTTGAGCTGCATCATATGTCCATGAACCAAATTTTAGCTTACATAATTGATCTTTTTTAATAAAGAAATAAGAAAAAAAACAAATATTTTTTTTTTTTCTTTTCTTAAATAAAAACAATTTTACCATCAAATGGAAAAAAAGTGACATCAATTTTACATGATGATCGAAATTTCGCTGGTGGTGGCCAAAAAACATGTCCATTACTATCGACCATAGCTTTACTTTGATAATAACCTTGTGTATAATCATCAGCTGAATTATATAAAACAATATCTTGTAACCAAATTTTTGAACATNTAATTAATTGATCGACACGAATCGTTTCTCTTGAAGTGGGTGTCTTTTACGGACGAGAATTGATTCCATAAAAACAAAGAATGAAACGATGATTTGTTTGAATGCCTCATGTTATTTTTTTTTCTTTCCTTCTCTGGTTGTTTTGTTTCTCTTCCTTTTTCGATTATTCTCTCTCTCTCTCTCTTGTTTCACTTTTCTTTCTTGTTGCTATTCTGCTGGTGCTTATCAATCAATTTGTTCGGCTTTTACTCTCTTTTTATTTTACTTTATCCCTAAAAGCGTGATATACGATAGTCTGTGAATCAAGATTGTTGATGTTTATGCAATAATCCGCTTCTTGGCAGAGTTTAGCCTAAAAAATCACCTTTTTACATGTAAGCACTTCCGAGTGTGACATTCCTAAGCCTAATAAAAAAAATTTGAGACAACAGTATATCGCAAGGATACATTCACAGGCTTAATGACCAGGTAGTGCTCATTCGTTCCATTATCGTATAAGAAAAACAGTATTGTGACTATGATCCAACGAGCCTTAGCCGTCTGCTCCACATACCCATTGCTCGCGGAGGAACTCGAGAAGGTTCGATGGATAGCAAACCAAAACGGTTATCCTGTCAATTTCATTGATACTCGGATTGGTATCGGTTTGATTAAGTACTTTAACAGGAACAAGGAACAAGTGAAGTCAAAAAACAAGATAGATGAAGAAAAGACAAAGATGTATTTCGAGATTTCCTATATCGGCTCAGCCACTGAACAACTGCAATCCAAACTCAAAAGAATCACACAGAAAGTCCGACCAGACGTTGATGCACAATTCTTCGCCAAACCGATTCGATCAGTTCAAACCTACTTTCCAAATAAGAAACCACTTTCGAAAGAATTACAATCGGATATTGTCTATGCGATTAAATGCAATGACTGCGAACAAATATATGTCGGAAAAACCGAGCAGCAAGCCATACGCCGTATGCGACAGCATGGCGCTCCAAAAGGAATATTCGGTATAACAACTGAAAGTGATCAACCATCAAAAAACGTAGAGAAAACGAGCAAGACAGACACTGAATCAACTCCATCGACAGCGGTACCTCTACGTCGCTCTTCACGAATACGTGAGAAACAGGCTGCTACCAACAAACCACTAACAAATGAACTCGGTAAAAACATGTACCAACAAATATTTAAACTCTTTCTTTATAGGCACTAGCTGATTATCAACGTCAAACTGGACATCAAATCGACTGGGAACACTATCCAACCCTGTGGCGAGACAATCTTGCTCATCGACTACTACTTAAAGAATCGCTCGTGATCAAAGCTCATCAGCTAGCTTTGAATCGAACAACTCACTCAGTTCCTCTCATAATCTTTCCCGAAGGCATGCCACCACATCTAATTCCCAACCCTAACCGATAGTATCCCCCACGCCATGCGACAACACCACCCATGTCCATCCCACCTGTCTACCCCAACTGAAACTACAAACCACAGCACAATAACTCCTATTCCCGATCCACTTCAACAATCGCTATCCTCTTCAATGATTCATCAACAATCAATCCATTCTTTCGAACCAAATAACAGATTGAATCCATCCCCTGCAACGTTCGAACCAGAAACAGCAAAACACGAAACATACTTCAAACGGCGACGGTCAACAACAACACCCTTAACCACCATACCTAGCCGTAAAAACCAAGCATCAAATACACCAATCAAAACATCACCTCATTCCAAAATACCCACGCCACTCCCAAAAACCAATAAGTCCTTCGGTTTCCATACTGAAACGTCTTATATCATCATTATTTGCTGATTCATTCTATTTCATTTTGATATCTGTTGTTACTCTGGTGGTAATATGGCAATTCAATTCATTTAACTATTTTATTATTTTTGGTGAAATCCGATGATAATTTCGTTTTTATTGAAAATGACCTGTGACAAGTGTCGAACCGTCTAAAAGTTTCAGTATGTTCTACCACTGTTAAATATATTTTGATTTATTATTATTTGCCGATTCTTCATTTTGATATTCATCTAAATAACTTATTAGAGAATTCTCATACTCCTTTTCAACAAGAATTCTATGGTCTCGTTCACAATCCGATATTTATTGATATTAATTCTGATAAAACAGACCTCAGTCTAGATAAGCATCGCATGCACATATACCTAGAAACATGCCTAAATGTATCTTCTCTGTGCAAAAGAAAGAATCGAACTGCATTTAAACGCCTGAGGAGAATCCTAGAGCATCAGCAAACGTATAGAACCAACACGTGTAATCGCATATTGTCGATAGGTAGCATTCGATCGTCTTCAATTTAAATTTTTGGAAATTATAAATGCATTTGGATGCAAAATCGAAATCGTCCACGTTGGAACGTGTCCCATGGTCAATCAAAACCTGTGTAGACGCGTCTTATTTAAGAAACGCGTTTGAACACTCGTATCTATTTGAAGCGCCTTTAAACGCTAGTGGTATAGACGCATTTCAGTGTGTTTGAAGCATGTTTTAATCGAAGATACGTTTCATGGTTACATGGGCGGTATTTTAATTAAAACGAACTTCTTTTTTTGTAAAGTGATACATAAAAAGCTATGAAAAACTGTTTAAACTTCTGATCTACATGTCGGACATGAATTTCTTCCAACTAACCATGCTTGAATACATTTACGATGAAAGAAATGAGTACAATGTGGCAAGCCATTGACGATTTCACCTTTTGAATATGTGTCTATACAGATCTGAAATGTAAAGTAAAAAAAGGTTTTTCCTTGGAAATACCTATATAGGGAGCACGAAGAATAAACACGAGTGCTAAATTTAGTTTTCTTTTTTTCTGAGCGAATCCAATTTTAGCTGAGGAGGTACTCTGATGAATTAAGCCGTAAACGATGATACTTTGAGAAGACTCCAAATGAACCAAGGTAAAGTTATATTTTTCTGAGCAGAATAAGAAAATTTTCTGAAGAAACCGATAGAAGTTTAATGCTCTACTGTTCATATTTCTCAACAAGAAATTAAATTCAAGTATCTTGCATTAGACAGACCGTTTCGATGTTTTTGAAAGTAACACGAATGAATTTATTCTCCAACTATAAACACACAGTAAGCAAAACCATGTTTTAAAGTATGAATTTGCTATGTAGTGAGTGAGGATTATAAAAAGAGGTAGAAGGAACAACTTACAACACATGTATACGCGTCCTTATTGGCTTGGTTATCGTTGATAGTCCATGTTGGTATATTTCGAGTTGTTGTTGAGGATGAATTAATAGTTGCTGAAACTGATGCTGTGCTACTTGGACTAAAGTCTGCTAGTGGGTTCACAACACCATTTCGACGCATTTCTTCAATTCTATTCTTGCGCTCTCGTCGATGATGAACAAAGGTGCCTGTATGAATAAATCAAAGACTCAGTTAAATTCCAAGCTCATGAGGTTTATAAAAGTTCGACACTTTTCAATTGAGTAGCATTATGTCGACCTTTCCTTTCCCATTCACTCGTGATTTCAACTTTCGCTCAAAAATCGTGATCTGAATTCTTGTGTCAAATGCGAAGAATGGTATAATTCTAAAACAAATGTCAGAACTCGATTCTACCTCGGATTCGAAAATCATAGTTTAGGTATGTTGCTTTCAAAAAACCGAGTGTGAGACTTCAAACTGCCTTAATCCGCGCATTCTTTCAAATTCAAGCAAAAGCATGCTTCTCTGGCAAGCAAAATGTAAGCAAGTTATTTTGCTTGTTTGTTTCCTTCGTTTTTCACGTTTATCTAAACAACAGTCTAACATCGGTAAATAGTAAAAAAGGCAGATCTTACTACCATCATTATAAAAAACTTACATTCCTTGCTTTACAATTCGTTCAAAGTTCTTATTTCCAAAATTTCTTTCTGTATCCTCTCCATTAGAGGTGTCAGTTTGGCGTTCTGTTCCCCATTCCTAGGAATGGGAACGGGGAACGGAAACGCAGCATACATTTCTTTCACTTTTAATGGAAGCTTTACAAAGTCACTGGAGGAAAGGCAATTTCATAAAAATCATGGATTTTTATAAAGTTTGACCAAAGGTAATCGAGGTGAAGGAATCCAAATCTGCAATCACCTTCTGAAAATTTTGAGTTTGATTTTTTTTGTCAAGGAAAGGATATTTTCTAAAAATGGTGATATCTTATAAAGTTTCAACAAAGTAAATCGGTGTCGAGGAATTCGAATCTGAAGTCAGTTTTTAAAAATTTTGGATTGAACGTTTTGGACAAAAGAAAGGGTTTTTTAAAAAAATAATGATTATTTATAAAGGCTGAAGAATCCAAATCTAAAATCAGATCCTTGAACTTTTCAACTTTCTCTTCCCAAGCCTAAACTGCTCCTTGAAAGTCGTCTTTTTTTCTAGAAAACTTTCTCCCTGAAAAATATCATATGCGATGAGCTACAACTCGCAATTTTCAAAAGCCGACTTCAGATTCGGATTTCTCGACCCCGATTTGTTTTTATCAACCTTTATAGGATATCGTTATTTTTCTAAAAAAACCCTTTCCTTTGTCGAAAACATTCAATTCAAAATTTTTAAAAACTGACTTCAGATTCGAATTTCTCCACATCGATTTACTTTGTTGAAACTTTATAAAATATCACCATTTTTAGAAGATATCCTTTCCTTGACAAAAAAAAGCAAGCTCAAAATTTTCAGAAGCTGATTGCAGATTTAGATTCCTCCACCTCGATTACCTTTGGTCAAACTTTATAAAAATCCATGATTTTTATGAAATTGCCTTTCCGCCAGTGACTTTGTAAAGCTTCCATTAAAAGTGAAAGAAATGTATGTTGCGTTCCCATTCCTAGAAACGGGGTATGCCGAACATTCAAACATAAAAAGACAAGCTAACACATCTAGAAACCTCGACCTGTTGAAATAAAGCTGACAAGAACGATTTTGAGATGCGTTCTCGTGCTTAGGAACGGAACGCTGAGGAACGGGGAACGCTGACAGCCCTACTCACCATTAAAGTTATGCCATGCCATCATGATTCCTTCATCAGTTGGTAAACCATTTGAACCGAAAACACGCACTTCAACAACAAATTGTGTGTCTTTTGGTCGTTTTCCATCACTTCGACGATTACGAACACTAACTCTCAGCTGCGAATTTGGTACTGCCCATTCATACATATGTTCATATTTATCATTATCATAGTCAGAACGAAGTATGAATTTAAAAGGTCCAACAGCACTAGGCGGATGTGTTTCACTATTTTTTCCGTGGTAACCTATAACAGATAACAAGAACATTCGATTCAAAAATAATAAAAGCTAGGTAAATTGAGTTTAAAAAGAATGATTGCTGTCACCTAGCAGTAACTTTAGTTCAAGTAATTCATGAAACACTCACCAGCTATTGCTTTTCCAGCTTCAAATATATCGTCACTTTCATGTGAAATTTCAAAGAACTTCTCTGGTATTAGCAGTAATGACCGTTCTACACCTGATTGAATAACTTTTTTCAGCTCAATCTGAATATCACCATTAACATGAGTAAAATTAATATGTGGAGCATGATCACCTGGACCGGCACTTTTGTTTAATGTTCCTCCGCGATTGCTCGAATAAGGATGATAACGATACATCTCTATTGTGAAAGTAAAGTAAAATTTGAATTGTCTAAAGTAAGATGAAGGAAGTAAATGAGAATTTTGCAAAAAAACTGCCTTTCTTTCTTACTGCCTTTATGAGAAAAAAATCAGAACAGGTGAAACAGAAAGGAAGAACCTGCGAAGTTTTGCACGTTGAAAGAAAACATGTGGTTTGAAGTGGGTATTTTTTATCAAAAAGAAATATAAGACTCAACTTTGGTTGAGTCAAAATTCTCTTGAGGGAGAAGGTGACAGTACGTGAGTAATATAAATAGAGACTCGAATACGCATATATGTTAAACTTGAAACTTGAATTCGATTGAAATTTCAAGTTTCAAGTGACTTTTAATTCAAGGGAAATTGGGTCGAGTTTTATATTGTTGATGAATGAAGTAAAAGTACACTGATAAATAAATGCGAAAACCTCGGGTTTAAATTCGAGTGTTATGTGTACTTCAAAAAGTGAAAAGGGATATTCACTTTGTTATTTATTTGCTCAAAAACAGAATCAATCACACTCTCAAGCTTTGAAATTGGTCTTAGCAAGGTCTTGTTTTTTTGCTGCAATGACATATGTTTGTATACCTTGTTCTAGTCAGTTTCATTTCGGATTTTATGAGAAGAAAAATGTATAAGAATAAATTGAAATATTTACAACTCATTGAATATATATATCAGTCTCATGTTATTAAAAGAAAAGAGAAGATGAAAATATGAAACTTGAATTTGATCATGCTGGGAAAAGATGTTTGTGGATGCCACCTGATGAGAAGCAAAGAAGTTGAGGATTTTTTTCCATATATATTAATCATTCATCTTATACACAGTATTTTGATTTGTTTGTAATAAAATACAAAATATCCTAATAACAAAATACAGATCTAAATTGACGTATAGAATAAAAAAAAAACGATAACAATTTTTTTTTGAGATATGATGAAAAACAATCGAATTAATCCGATTGAATATTATTGTCATCTGATTCATGATTGACACGTAATAAACGTGCATTTTGTTCAATATTTCTCGATTCATTTCCCGTTCCATTTAATTCAGATTTTGACTTTGGTAATAGAAGTGAAAACATTAATCCAATTGTAGCAAGAAGAGCACCAAAAAGAGACGGTGGACCAGGAATATCACGACTTAAAATTGATGAACATATTGGTTTGACATTAATACTCTTTGTTGTTAAATTTGATTGTGTTTTTTGTTAATGGTAATGGTGATGAATAATCTAAATCAACATTAAATAAATAAAATGTAAATCCAAACAAAGCTGGACCAAGACCATTACATAAACCATGTACACCATTAACCATACCTTGAACAAGACCTAAACAAAAATAAATAATTATTTTCAAATTATACCTTTTTTTTACCTTGTTGATTGTGTTTTGCATAAACAGAAACAAATGCACTAATAGATGGATACATTACGGATGATAGGACTGCTAAACCACCAGAAACCCGCATAACCCTTGAATTAAAATTTTAGATTTTACTTTTAAATTTATTTTATTTTACCAATTTCATGTAGCTATACCAAATGCTACTAATTGAACAATTTGAAAAAACAATCCAACCATTATAGTTTCTTTTGCACCGAAATATTTTTGTAAAGATGCCGAAAGAAGAGTCTAAACATATTCCAATACTCATTAAATAAACAATAAGAAAGACAGTCATTATTTACTTGAGCAATACATGAAAGAATACGAATAAATGCAATAAAACAAGCAATTTCATCTTCCAAGAAACCAAGCATCTATAGAAATATACATAAATAAATCAAATTATTCATATATAAATACTTACTAATCGGAGATAAACAAAAGAACATGAATACTATCCAGCTTCTAGAAAACAAGAAAAACTAAAATACTTGCGTTCGTGCTTGCTTTGATTTATTTTTTTTTGTCTTATCAATCAATGGCAACGAATAGTGAAAATTCACTTGATCATGAAATCAGTTGTTATCGACAATGATGAAGGAATAAATGTTGAGAGTAGTCGAACGACTACTCATATCAAAAGTAAAGTTTTTTTTTCGAAGAATAATGAACGTGTTCTTATTGGTAATAAATCTTTAATTTAAAAACTAAAACGAATATTTTATTATTAGAAAAAGGTGTTAAAGGTAGTTTTGTTACCGTCAATCGATTTAAACACTTTGGTTTTATCAAGCGGTAATTATGATCCTTTTTTTTTTGGTATTTAATTGCATGTGTTTTCCAGTAAAGATAAAACTGAATGGCCTGATATTTTCGCACGAGAAGCTTCAATAATTGATCAGGTTCGTCCAAAGAAATTTTTCGTGGCTGATACCTGCAGATTTGACATCATGAAAAGTGAGTTATTTAACTCTAGTCACAATATAAATAATATCTCCTTGTCCTACAGCTCCTCGTGGTTATGAAGCTATCAATATTAATATTATCGAGATAAATATCAATTCCATTCGTAAGTTACCTAAAATTCCGAAGAAAAAAGAGACCGATTCAAAGCAAACAGAAATATCTGATGAACTATTCCAGTCGACATTGTAAATACGACTCAATTTATTCTTGACTTGATGTATATTAAATTGTATTCTATTGTAGGGCTATGCTTTTTCGTGAAGCTTTGAAGAAAAAGTAAATCCAGTTGATCGTCGATTGATTTATAACAACAACATAATCAATATGACATTTGTTAAGATTTTTAACAGCTAAACAAAGGAATTTTTTAAGAAAAGATCTTGTATTGAAGAAAATTGTAAAAAAACAATTTATCTTTTACTTAATAAAATACTTAATAAAAAAAGAAGTTTTTCTCATGAATACTTATTTGTTTTAATTCATACATTGAACTAAATAAAAGAAAATCTATACAAAACAAATGAGAATTTAGTCGAGCAATTATTTCAAGGGGGAAACAACTGACTTTATGACTTAAATGATCTACATGTGATCTACGTGATCTAAATGACTTTAAAGTCATAAAAGTCAATTGTTTTCCTCTTGGATTCTGCTAATATTCACTGTGACTGTTGAGTCTCTGTTAGGCTACTGGAACAAGGAAATAATTTTCTACGGTCTATCTGTTATCGATGTTCATAAACAAGAAATTACTTAATACTTGAGATCGAGATTGCAACGTAATCTAATCTATTATTATGTACATAATATTTTTGAAGCTCAAAATATCGTCGTCAAGACAAACGACGAGTATAAAAATAATTAGACATTATTGTTTTTCTGATTTTGACTAGTCTATTTACTCCAAATTCATGTCATTCTCACAAAAATATGAATATTCAAAGAAACTTCGTGAAAAATTCGTGTATTCTATAGAAACTGAGTGGTGCGAAAATAATCGGCATTAATGGATCAAAATCCAAGTACGGACGCTGTTCAGTCTTATATTTTAGTCAGGGAAAACTAATTGAGGCTAAGAAAATTCTGATAAGATTCGTGATCGTAATCTATATACCGAGAGTCTTGATTGTTTTACTGGGATTCTGGCGTATTCGTAATTATTTATAAAAATGTTGAATCACCAAAACTGAGATTTGAAACGTTAATTTAAGGTACGTCTGATGGACTTGATAACACTCGAAAACTTTGAGCTAGTAACAATATTATTTTCTCAAGATATTGCGTATTCATGTAAATTCCGTTTACGTGCTAGGTTGTTGATAAATAATTATATTTTCAAGATTCAATATCAGAGCAAAAGAACATTAAAGTTCAGTTAATACTTTCAGAAAGCTGCAGGTAGTCAAAAAAGTAACCGGACACCTACGTATTTTTTCGTATCTCTTAGTTTGTGAAGCAGAAACAAGAGATATTATTTTTCTTTTTTAGCCAATAGATAGTCCTCACTTCATACTAGATTATCTATAAAAATAAGTAATTTTGATTATCATCTCGAATTACAGGAAGCTTTTCTCACAAAAAAGCCTGATTTTTCAGTACGTCCAGAGCAAGACTTTTCTATAAAAGTTACTGTTACTTTCAAAATCATGTCAACGGATAGGGCTAGCTTTTCTCGTTCTAGTGTTGTGCATATGGTATAATTTCGATGTTGAAAAAATTAACACCTTCGTATGAAAAATAGAAGAGTCTTGCTTTGGACGTACTGAAAAACCAGGCATTTTTGTGAGAAAAGCTTCCTATAATTCGAGATGATAATCAAAATTACTTATTTTTATAGAGAATCTACTATGAAGTGAGGCCTATCTACTGACGAAAGAAGAAAAGTAATATCTTGTGTTTCTACCTCGAAAATCAAGATACATAAGTATCCGAATACTTTTGTGACTACCTATATATGAACTACCAGACTTCTGTTTCAACAAAATTATTGATGTACAACTCACAAACCAACATTCCCGATACGAATACGCACAAAATTCATCAAAGAAGTCATAACACTTGACCTACAGGATGCGGCCACGAATAGGAGTGAATTTAGGTTTCTAAGGTAGGTGGAATGATGAGTAAAAATGACTTTGAAGATCCATTAGATCTAGTACAACCTTGCTTTTCGTTCGTTGTTGCCGGTAAAAGCTTTTGACAGATGTAAGCAGACATGATCTGAAGTTTTCCATATCGAAGACTGATTCTTTTTATAGACCATTACACGCTCAAAAACTTTAATGAAATGTCTTAGAGTGATTCTAAGCCTATCATTTTATACTATCAAAAACTAGCTATATCGTATGTATATTTTGATAGAATCATTGTTATTGTACCTTATTCGAAACGTATATCGATATATTCACATATCAACAGATTTTAGATAAGTATAGACTAGCATCCTCTTTCGAATAGTCTGAGTTATTTTAATGACTTTTCATGACTTTCGTGATCTAAGTGATCTAAATGATCTAAGTGATCTAAAATGATCTAAATGACTTTAAGTCATAAAAGTCAGTTATTTCCCCCTTGAATTATTTCCATTTCTAAATAGAATTGTTTGTGTTTAAAAGTTTTAATCATTAGTTTGTTTCACTTTTTTCAGATTTTCAAATAAATAATAAAAATATTAATTAAATTTTTTGTTCAAAAAAGATTACTAATCTTTCGATTTTCTAAAGTTTCTTACTTAGTATCGAGTATATCTTCCCTAGTTTTAACGAAGATTTGACTCGAAAGAAACTTTTGCATTGTTTATCTCACTAAGTTTAGAGATATACATGTGTCTCACTAAGTAGAAGCTGTACTTGGTGTATACACGTCCTAATCTACGTGAGAAGTTTGTTTTTTACGAAAAAATGCCGAAGCTAAAAAGAAGATCTATATCTCAAAGAAATATCGAGAAGGCAAAGAGAATGAGAGAAAGAAGAGCTAACGATGAATTTCGTTTGATGGACAATAGAAGACGAGCAAAATCTCAAAAAATTTCACGACAAAATGATGAATTTGAAACAGAAGATAATAAGAGAAGAGCAGAAGCTCATAAAATTAAACATGAAGAGGAAAAATACAAAGAAGACGAAAGAAGAAAAAATGCATTGAGAATGCAGAATAATAGAGATAAATACAAAAATAATTTTGATGGCATGAAATCAAATTATGAGTTAAAAATAAAAGAAGGACCTACTCATATTTGTAGCTGTTGTGGTGGTTTATGGTTTGAGTATTCAATCAGAGAATTTACAATTGAGATGTTAACAAATAAAGGATTAAAAAAAGAATTTATCGATACAGTTTGTTATCTCAAAAATACAATCATCAAATTATGTGTCACATGCAGAAACGACATCATGTTGAATAAAGTACCTAATCTCTGTCTATCTAATGGTTTAGCATTCTATGAAGTACCGGATTGTTTGAAAATCTTGACTGAATTAGAAGAAAGATTAATATTGCCAAGAATTCCTTTTATGGTTATTCGAAGTTTAGGTTCTTGTAAACAATTCGGTCTCAAGAGTAACCTTGTAAATGTTCCCATGAATGCTGATACAAATGTTTCAGTCTTGCCCAGAAGTTTTAGTGATACTCACACGATTCAATTGAAACTCATGAGACAAATGAAAAATAAAAATGCTTTTATGTATGAAACAATTCGACCAAAAGTTGTGCATACTGCTGTAAAATATTTGGTTGAGCAAGAGCTGTATAAAGATGAAGGAATTGTGATATCTCATGATTGGCTGAAAGAATATTCTAACGAGAGAGAGAATTTTATCATCGATGATGAAGATAAGAAATTCGATGAAAATGAAAACATCAGCAAAGATTTTGATGACGAGGACAAATGGAATGAATGTGACGATAAACCAGTCAATCCAAGTACTACTGAAACATTATTAAATGACGAGATTGGTGATCAGAATGATATTGGTATCAAATTTGCTCCAGGAGAGAATAACAGGCCGATATCGATTTTAATGGATTTAAAAGTCGATGAATTAACATTTCCGAAAATTTATTGTGGCAAGCAAAGAAAAATCAAAGCGAATGTTAAATTAACTTATGCTAAGATTGCCAAGTCAGAATTAAGAATGTTTGATCGAAGATGTGGTAGAATATCGAAATTGTTTTTCACATATAAGAAACTACAAACGAGAAAGTTCTCCGATGCTATTTCAATAAATTTGAGAAAAACAAAAAATACGAAAAACATAACTGCTACACAGATGCTCAATCGAGATTATGTAAATGGATTAATACATAATGATGATGCTTTTACATTCTTAAGATGTGATCGATCTTCACCAGCGTTTTGGGAACTAAAGAAAAAGGAAGTTATGGCGATGATCAGACAGTTAGGATGTCCAACACTATTTTTAACATTATCAGCAGCAGAAACAAAGTGGTCAGAACTAATTGTAATATTAACTCAAGTGTTGGAAAATAAAGTAATAACATTAGAGGAGGCAGAAAATATGAGCTATGAAAAAAAATGCGATTTAATAAGACAAGATCCGGTAACATGTGTTCGTTATTTTGAACATAGATTAAAATGTTTATGGGAAATATTATCGGCTCCTTGTGGTCCATTTCAAGGCTATGAATTAGTAGACAAATATGTCAGAACTGAATTCCAAGTTCGTGGTTCACCACATGTTCATGCTCTACTATGGTTAAAGAATGCTCCAAAATATGACGAAAACAATCCTGAATCAATTGAAAGATGTATAGAATTTATTGATAAATTGATTTCGGTTAGTTCTAAGCCAACGGAATTTCCTGAAGAACTTATTAATTTACAACGTCATAAGCATTCACATACTTGTAAAAAATATGTAAAAGATTGTATTAAATGTCGTTTTGGTATTCCATATTTTCCGATGAGAAAAACGATGATTTTAGAACCATTTAGTGACGATGAAAAGTTAACTAAGAAAGAACGTGAAGAGATCAGCAAAAATAGACAGAATGTAATCAAAGAACTTGACAAAATATCAAAAGATCAAGATAATTCACTAACTTTTGAAGAATTCTTGAAACATGTAAATATGAATGAAGAAGAATATATTAAAATAATTCGAGCTGAATTAAAAAAACCGAAAGTATTCTTGAAACGTGCTCCAAATGAAATCAGAATCAATGCATACAATCCAATGATAATGTCATTGCACAAAGCAAATATGGACATTCAGTTCATTCTTGATCCTTATGCATGCTCAATGTATTGTGTTGACTACATTAGCAAATCTGAAAATGGAATGTCTAAACTTCTAAGAGAAGCATTGAATGAGCTAAAAAAAGGCAATAATACAGTCAGAGAACGTCTTAGAGTTATTGCAAATAAATTTTTGAATTCAAGTGAAATTTCAGCACAAGAAGCTGTCTATCATATTTTAAGTATTCCACTTTCAACCAGCAGCAGAAGTACTGTATTTATTAATACCAATAGACCCGAAAACAGAATTTCTATGGTCAAATCAGATGAGGTTCTTCAGAAACTGGAGCCTGATTCAAAAGATGTTTTTGTTCAAGGCTTAATTGATATGTATATAAATAGGCCTGAAGAAATGAAAAATATCTGTTTGGCTGATTTTGCTTCATTGTATAATGTATCAAAAAAACAAACAAACAACGTTCAGATTACGGAAAATTCTGGTGATGAAGATGTCATTGACAATGAAATTGATGAAAAAAGTGTTGCTCTAAAGATGAAAAATGGAAAAGGATGGATTAAAAAAAGAACAAAGAAAAAAATAATAAGATTCAGAAACTTTAAGCTACATCAAGATCCTGAAAATTATTACAGAGAGCAGCTGATGCTATTTCTACCATGGAGTAATGAGGAAGAGGATCTTATTTATATAAATCATGAAGAGACATTTGAATTACATAAAGATTTGATTCGACAGAAAAGATCTGAATATGTTCATCGTGAAGCCAATGAATTTGAGCAAGCTTTTGAAGAGCATATGGAAAGAGAAAATGAAAATGATCTCGATGATACAAATATTGAATACGATCAAGATAAGAATGAATTCCTCATTTATGAAATAGGAAATCATGAAGGTGATATCTTTGTTGAAATGGGGCTAAATACTCGAACTGAAAAAGTTGAACATTTTAATGTTCCCAAAATAATACCAGATACTGAATATCAGCAAATGATAAGAAGTCTCAATAACAATCAAAGAAGATATACTTTAAATGTGATGAATTTGATAAAAAATGGAGATAAGCAGTTTTTTCATTTTATTAATGGCGGTGCAGGTGTTGGCAAAAGTACTTTGATCAAAGCAGTATATCAGTCGATACTGAGATTTTATAATTCTCTTCCTGGATCTAATCCAGAAACTATTCGTACTGCAATCTGTGCGCCAACTGGCAAAGCAGCAGCACTAATTGATGGAATGACGTTGCATTCATTTTTAAGTTTACCAGTTAATCAATGCAAACATAAACTCGTTAAACTAGACAGTGATATTTCAAATAGAATTGGAGTGAAATTGAAAGATCTACAATTACTAATCATAGACGAAATATCAATGGTTGGTTTTACAATGTTTCAACACGTCGATGCACGTGTGCAGCAAATAATGAAGTCCAAAAAACCATTTGGCGGAGTATCAGTCATAGTTTTGGGCGATTTCAATCAATTAAGACCAGTTGGTGATAAATACATATTCCAATTTAACAATTCATATAATGCTTTAGTAGATAATCCATTATGGTCACTTTTTGAATTGTTCGAATTGACAGAAATAATGAGACAAAAAGATGATAAGGCTTTTGCCATTGCATTAAGTAATATAGCAAAAGGAATGATGACACTTGAAGATATTAATTTATTAAAACCACGAATTGTTTCAAATGAAAATTTGGAAATCATGGGAGATGCAATAAGAGTATTTAGAAGTAATGCTGAAGTTGATGCATATAATACAAAAGTATTGGCCAGTCTTAATACCGAAGGTGCAATCGCTAATGCTTATGATTTTTGTATTGGTGATGGACTTGCATCAATAAGAGAAAAAGTTCTAAACAACGTAAAGAATCTGAAAACAACTGAAACTTACGGTTTACCACTTAAAATTGATTTGAAAGTGGGCGCTAAGTATATGATGACAGTGAATATTGACACTGAAGATGGATTAGTAAATGGCGCCTGTGGAAAATTGATAATGATTGATTATGGAAAGCTTCAAAAGACTAATGAGACAGTACCATGTAGACTATGGATTAAATTTAATGAAGAGAAAACTGGAAGAAAAACCAGAGCTAATTTTCAAAATGTAATGCGAAATAGAAATATTGATCTCAGTCTCACACCAGTTGAACCAGTAACACGGCAAATAAATACAAGGTCAACAAATTTCAAAGTAGAACGTAAACAGTTTCCTGTAGTTCCTTGTGAAGCAATGACGATATATAAAAGTCAAGGTGGCACTTATGAAAAAGTCGTTGTCAATCTAAAGAAAGGAATGACAAGATCTGAATTATACGTCGCTTGTAGTCGTGCAACAAAAGCAACTGGTTTATATTTAATTGGCGACTTCGTTCCACCAAAACCACCTGAACGTAATGATGCAGTGGCGATGATGTTCAAAACCATGAGATTCGAAAAAATGCTGAAATTTTCACTTGAATTTCCTGAAGAATCTCAAGGAGAAAGGTTTTTCGTGATGTTTCATAGTGTACAATCATTGAATAAACATATTATGGATATCAGATCTGACAAAACATTTTTGTGTGCTTCTATGATAAGTCTTGTTGAAACATGGACAAAACCTACTGATTCTTTGGAAATTGAAGGTTTTAAAGTAATTCACAGACGTGATTGTAATGATACACGAAAACCATTCGGTCAAATCACTTACTTAAAAAATGATTTGAAGTATGAAAATATCACCGAAAGATGTGAATATTCAGGAAAAGACCATATTGAATATTGCTCAATAAAAATTGATGATATTTGTACTATTTCCGTTTACAATTCACCAAATTCATCATTTGATGTCTTAAAACAACATATTAATGAAGTTATATCTATTTCAAAAAGATTTTGTGAAGATATAATTGTTGTTGGTGATTTTAATATAAATTTGAAGATAAAAACCAATCACAAATTCATTGAATATATGGAGTCGTTCGGGTTGACTCTGATTAATAAATTAAATAAAAGTTCAACTAATGCAAAAAGGCAAATTGACTATTGCTTCACTAATGTGAAAGATTTAAAATCTGATTATTTTGAAAGTCTTACAAGTTTTCATAAACCAATATGGATAAGAAAACGTGAAGTTTTGACTAAGTTTCATTTTGATGAAACCGAAGACATTCATACAAATATACCTTTTCATATCGAAGATGTTATAACTGATGATCAATCTGACACGATGGAAGTCGATGAGAAATTCGTTTTTGAATGTCATGAAACAGTCGATAAAAACGAACAAATTGACTTAGATATGTCTTTCCATTTGGAAGATCTCAAAGTTAATGATCAATCTGATATGATGGATATTGAAGAAAAATCTTCTTCAAAAAACTATGAAATGATTGATTCAAACTCAAGAAAGATTCTTGATCAATTTCTTCTTGTACTTGATTTAAATAATACTACAGACACTGATCAAATTTCAAGTCAAGCTCAAGTAATCAATGATGTAATTGAAAAATCACCGTTTATAACTATGCTAAATAAAGACCGATTCGTCCGGTTAGAATTGGAAACAGAATATTCTGTTCAAGCATTTGACTCAGTTTATGCTCGAAGCCGCACGACTGCAGATGGCAATTGTTTATACAGTTCTCTTTCGATATTAAATATTGGATCTGAAAAACTAACACATTCGATGAGATTGTTGGCAGTAAATGCAATGATCAATAATAGCGATTATTTTCGAACACTTTGTAAATCATTGGGTTATTCATTTGAAGAACAGTTGAAAAGAACTGCTAAGCATAAAATATGGGGTGGAGAAATTCAAATTCAAGCTCTCTCTATAGCTCTATCTCATCCTATATATTCATATACCCGATTTAACAACAATCCAGAAAATAGGCATTATATACCACCGAATATTAGCTTGGAGGAATTGATCGATCGATTTAATGAACGGACAGCAGGTGGTCATTTGAAATACGTAGGATACAAATCCGATATGAATAAATTAGGATTATGTGTTTACTACAATGGTATTCATTATGATGCTCTCTTGCCTTTTGAAGATAATCCTCAACAATTTGTACCACACTTTGACATAATTAACATGAGTTTATAAAAAGAAACACGATTCAGCTAAAGCAAAGAAGTTTATGCGAATGAATAAAACTTCCGGAACTAACTCCTCGCCACGTCCTATGGGACAAAAAGAGGGCATCCGCAGGGCCTAAGGGGCAGTTGCTTAGTGCGCTCAAGGATGAATATTTTAGACAGTTTAATAATAAAAATTAACTATCTTGAGTGTATGCTCGGCATTTTAACCTTGTCTCGTGAACGGTTTGGTCCTTTGAGCTAAAGAAGGTCTCAATTGGACAGAAAACAGTTTAATCTTTAAATTCACTACACCCAAGTGAGTAAGTTATGAGATAAAAAAGCTGTTAGCGCAATCCCTTGTGGGATTAAAAATGTGAAACACGATGGCTCTACTATTACTAATTGAATGGAAATCCTTTTCTTCCATTACGTTGCGATACATTTGTAGCTAACCGTTAATCTGATGCTTTACAACTACAGTTTCTCTGTCACGGTCTGTGATGGGTACCTGGATTCTCTGTCACGGTCTGTGATGGATACCTGGCTTCTCTGTCACGGTTTATGATGGGGGAATTACCTGTCTGTAACGGTCTGTGACGGGGGAATTACCTGTCTGTAACGGTCTGTGATGGGGGAATTACCTGTCTGTAACGGTCTGTGACGAGGGAATTACCTGTCTGTAACGGTCTGTGATGGAGGAATTACCTGTCTGTAACGGTCTGTGATGGGGGAATTACCTGTCTGTAACGGTCTGTGATGGAGGAATTACCTGTCTGTAACGGTCTGTGATGGGGGAATTACCTGTCTGTAACGGTCTGTGATGGAGGAATTACCTGTCTGTAACGGTCTGTGA